GTGATGAACTATAGGTGTTTGCCCTGAATCAAAGAGCATTCACTGCAAAACAAAATAATAGAACCTTAACTGAATATTATGGGGAGTTGGTTGAGATTTTTAGGGAATTGGACCATCGTGACAAAGTAGTCATGAAGGACCCTGATGATGTGAAGTCATATCAGAAGTCCATTGAAAGATTAAGGTGCATATATTCCTTGCTGCACTAGATGATGATTTTGAGCAAGTTCGTGGAGAAATCTTGCGCAAAGAAGTGACACCTGATTTAGAAGAATGCTATGCATTGATCCGGAGAGAGGCAGTTCGGCAAACAACGTTGAAAATAGAATATATGATTTCTGATTCCACAACTATGATGACAAAGAAGCAGCCAACAAATCACCACAGCAAATCGAAGCAATCAAAAGATTTTGAAAAAGGTAACTACAAGTGTACTCAGTGTAATAAGGATGGACACACCAAGGAACGATGCTATGAAATCATAGGATACCCCGAGTGGTGGGATCACAATCGAACATCAAAGAAGAATTCAAAAAGAAATCCAACTGCTGCTGTAACTGCCATTGACAAAGAGGACGACAAAGACATGATGCTTGCTACAATCGCAGGTAGTGATGATTCTAATGGTAAGGCTTTAATAAGCACATCTATCGTTCTGAATAATGCATGGATAATTGACTCTGCATGTTCTGATCATGTGACTTTTTATGTTAGACAAATTAAAAATCTTAAACCTTCCTCACAAAAAAGTATATCCATAGCCAATGGTAGTAAATCCACTATTATTGGAGAAGGAACTGTCTCTATTTCAAACAATTTGAATCTTGATATTGTCCTTGTTGTTCATTCTCTTAAATATAACCTATTGCCAGTTTTGCAAATAACCAAAACTATTTTATGTGTTGTAATTTTTGGGCCTGACTCTTGTGTTTTTAAGGATATTCAAACGAGGAAGACGATTGGTTGTGGTATTAGGCGAGGAAGGTTGTATTACCTGGACCTGATAAAAAAAGATTCAAAGAGACTTGGTCAAGTGCTAGCAACAAAAGGGTCTCAAGAAGTAAGAAAAGGCGAGGATATCTAGTTATGACATAAGCGTCTAGGACATGCATCTTTTGGTTACATAAAGAAATTATTTCCAAATGTATTTGACCAAGTAGACACTTCAACTTTTTATTGTGATGTTTGTGAGCTTGCAAAGAGTGATAGAACACATTTTCCTTTAATTTTAAATAAAAGTTCTCTTCCTTTTATGATCATTCACTCTGATGTATGGGGTCCATCTAAGGTTACAACGTTGGGTGGCTCAACGTGGTTTGTAACGTTTATTGATGATTGTACTCGAATGACTTGGTTATGTTTGATGAAGTCTAAAAGTGAAGTTGGAGGACTATTTCAGAAATTCTGCAAAATGATTGAGACCCAATACAAAACACAAATTCAGGTACTGCGTAGTGACAATGGAGGAGAATATATGCAATCAGAACTTCAACATTTTTTAGTAGCCAAAGAAATTGTTCATCAAAGATCTTGTCCAAGTACTCCAAAACAGAATGGGGTGGCAGAATGAAAGAACCGTCATCTATTGGAGGTGTCCAAGCTGCACTAATTGAAGCTCACATGCCAGCAATATATTGGGGAGAAACTCTCACATATGCAATATACACTATCAACCAAACACCATCCAGGTCTCTTGAGTATAAAACACCTCTTCAATCACTTACAGATGCAGTAGTAAATCCTAAAATTACTGAACTAACACATAGAGTTTTTGGTTGTGTTGCTTATGTTCACTTACACAAGCATCAGAGAAGTAAGTTGTCTCCTAGAGCTGAAAGGTGTGTGTTCCTTGGCTATGCGGATCACCAGAAAGGATATCGGTGCTACAATCCACAAACCAAGCAAATGTTTACTACTATAGATGTAGTTTTTCATGAAACCTCCGAGTCTGAAATTCAGGAGGAGAATTATGATGAAGTTCAAACTTTTGTTCCTCAAGAAATTGATATTGAGATCAGATTGGAGAAAGAAAGTTACAAAGTTGTATCAAGAGATGATGAAAGTATGCAACAATGTTATGATCAACAACCACATAATGAGGAAAATTTTGAGCATGTTGAGATCGAAAATTTTCCTGTTGATGCTAATGATATACCACACCAATCGTTCCCTCAAGAACCTAATACAAAAAAAAGAATTCTGCCAGATCGTGTCACTAGAGGTATCCCTAAGCCTACTTATGATCCTGACCTAACCAGTAAGACAAGATACCCTATGAGTAATTATGTTTGTAACCAAAATTTGTCTAACTCAAATATCGCATTTATAAGTCAATTATCTACTGTATCTATTCCTAACAGTGTGTAGGAAGCTTTAGCTGACTCCAGGTGGAAGGATGCTATGAATGAGGAGATGAGATCCTTGCAAAGAAATAAAACATGGGAATTATTAGATTGTCCAGTTAAAAAGAAACCAGCAGGATGTCGATGGGTGTATTCTGTGAAATTTAATGCATATGGCACAATTGAGAGATTCAAAGCTAGATTAGTGGCAAAGGGGTACACACAAGCATATGGAATAGATTACACTGAAACGTTTGCTCCCGTAGCCAAAATTTGTACAGTTCGAGTATTGTTATCTCTAGCTGTAAATCTTGATTGGTCCTTACAACAATTTGACGTAAAAAATGCCTTCTTACACGGGGAATTGTCTGAATAAGTTTATATGGAGCTACCATAAGGATGTGGGATCCCGAATACACATAGCAAGAAGGTATGCAAGTTGAAGAAGTCATTGTATGGACTAAAACAATCGCCACGAGCATGGTTTGGTAGATTCACCGAGTCAATGCTTGCTTTTGGATACCAACAGAGCAACCAAGATCATACCTTGTTTCTAAAGAAAAAGGAAGAAAAGATTACAATTCTTATTGTCTATGTTGATGACATGATAGTTACGAGAAATGATCTAGAGGAACGCAAGACATTGAAAGAGTACTTGGCAAAGGAATTCGAGATGAAGGATCTTGATCCTTTGAAATATTTTCTTGGAATTGAGGTGTCAAGATCAAAGTCAGGTATTTTTCTCTCACAACGAAAGTATGCATTGAATTTACTAAAAGAAACTGGAATGAGAGCATGCAAACCAACAAATTCTCCAATTGAAGAGGGATTGAAGTTGTGCATTGAAGAAGATCAAACTCCAACTAACAAGGGAAGATATCAGAGACTTGTAAGGAGATTGATGTATCTCTCACACACTAGGCCAGATTTAGCTTATGCTCTTAGTGTGGTTATCCAGTTCATGCACAGTCCAGGTGAAAAACACATGGATGCTATTATACGGATTTTAAGGTATATAAAAGCTACTCCTGGAAAAAGGAGTTATGTTCAAGAAGAACTCCAACTACAAGGATGTGATGGTTTATACTGATGCAGATTGGGTAGGTGCTCTTGATGATAGAAGATCAACTTCTAGATACTTTATATTTGTAGGAGGTAATCTTGTCACATGGAAAAGCAAGAAGCAGAAAGTTGTAGCTAGATCCATTGCAGAAGTTTAACTTAGAGGAATGGTTCTTGGACTTTGTGAAGGTTTGTGGCTCAGACTACTTCTCCAGGATTTAGGGTATGCACATACACATCCCATTCAGTTGTATTGTGATAATAAAGCTGCGCGCGACATTGCTCACAACCCTGTCCAACATGATCAGATGAAGCCTGTGGAGGTTGATAGATTTTTCATAAGGAAAAGCTTGATAAAAATATTTTGGAATTGCCAAATATTCAATCTGAAGATCAATTGGCAGACATTCTTACCAAAGTTGTGACAAATCAGATTTTTAGGAGATTATTGGACAAGTTGGGAATGTATGACATCCATTTACCAACTTGAGGGGGAGTGTTGGGATAAAGATATTTGATTAGCTAAATTATAGGTTTGTATAGCGGTACAAAATATTGTATAATCAAAACTTCCTATATTTAGTCCTGATGTGTTAGAGTAAAATACTATAAGATCATAGTATATCCGTACAAAAATAATATGAATAAAAATTATAGAATGAATTCTATGTTTAGTCCAATCAACTTCATCGACGTAAGATTCTATACAACACATATAAATTTAGTGAATTAAGTCATAAAATTTGATTTATTTGATAATTAAAACACATATTAGACTATGTTGTAGTTTATATATATATATATATATATATATATATATATAACATCGTTAAATTTTAACTCTCTTTTAAAGGTTACATTTTCTTCTTTAGTTGCTTGCAACTTACTATTCATATGTCATTTTCACATAGTATCCTTGTACGAGTTTTCAACCATTGAAAATGTTTCAAATTTTCTGTCATTTGTTTGGAAGAAGAACGCGTGTCAAATCAAGTTTTCTTACCTATCATTTATGTTGGTCATATAGAAGTTGTCCCAACTTTGGCACCAAAATAAATAAGATTTTTTGTCTATTTTTTGCAAGCTAAATGCCTTGATATATACAAAATTATATCAATCTTTCTTAAATTAAAATAAAACTAAATCTTCTACAAATTCTCTAATTTATTATAAAAAATATGAAAAAAATATTTTAGATATAATCAAAATCTCATAATTCAAATTAATCATAATTAATTCATAAAAATCACATATCTATACAAGTTTACACAATTTATCCAAAAAAAAAAAATCTTAATAGACATAATTTGAATCAAACATATCAAATCACTCGACACTACTAAATTTCAATTTCAATGGCATCATTCTACATCAATTATTTAAGAACCAATGTAGAAAGAAACGCAATGACATGTTTGTAAATATATGCAAGTTTTCTACATCGATTGTATGATAACCGATGTCGAAAGCAACATTCAACATCGGTTAGATATAGAATCAATGTTGAATCGTTATTTTTATATCAATTACATATTAAACTAATGTAAAAAGCTTTGTTAAACCCATCAAGACCCTTTCTTTTTGCTTCTGTATAAGTCGTTCTCACTTCATCTTCCTCCTCCTCTCCTTTTAACATCACCAGAACTGTCAAAGATCATAACCTCTTCATTCTCTTCGTTGGGCCTCTATCGCAATTGCACCCGTGCCCTCTTAAACGCTTGTTTGTGGTGGTGCGGTGAGCTTTCATCATCCCTGTATTGAGCACACAGTGGTTCTCTATCACCTCTCTGTTGCCTCTTTATCGCGACATGATGGGTATCTATTGTGATGTCTAGTGGTCCTCCGTTGTCTCTCTATCGCGACATGGTGAGCCTTTGTTGGTCTCTTCCTCTTGACAACACTACATAACAATAAGAGCAACCAACTATGGTGTTTCTCCCTCATGTGGTCTTTGTTTCTCACAATATCTCTCTTTCTCTTATGGCTACCATTCACTCCTCTCTCCCTCCGGTAGTACTGTAAACCCTTTATTACAGGCTTGCAATAACTTGAGGTGTTTTTTCCATCAATTGTGCTTGGATAATAGTAAATATTGAAGGCTGAGTAGGCTTTGTAACGTTGTAATATGTATAAATAGGGATGCGAAATTTCTCATAGTTGGTCAATTAATTATGTCAAAAATGTTGTTTGATCGTTAAAGTTTATCGTATTGTTATATGAAAATCAATTTCTATGCTAGTAAGATATTATACTTAGCATGCCTTGGTGCCAACAAAAATGAAAATTTTGTTTTGAAGAAGTGTGAATATGAATGTTTTGTATAAGTTTGAGTATACTATTAAATTTGGTTTGTTGTAAAATACAAATGAGACTCTGCCAAATTTTTTTAAAAATCCATTTCTTGTAATTGATTATTTAACTTGTAAGTACTATTTTTTATTTTAAAAATATTAAAATAATCACCTTTTATAAATAAATTACATATACATATATAATTGAATTGAGTTTCTTTGAAATAGATCATAGTTGGATAAATGCAAGTCATTTATTTGAAGAGAATGAAAATTACATTGAATAGTTCTTAGAATATGCTAAACAAAATGGACCGAATGTGAATGAAAATTTTTATTTCCCTTGCATCAATTGTGTTAATGGGCTAGTACAAATCTTAAACATAATACGAGAGCATCTTATCTGTGATGAGTTTTTGAAGAATTATACATCATGGACATGACATGGTGAATTGAGCAATATTTGTACAATATCTCACACTGAGGAGGAGGATGCTACTATGGAAGATCGAATAGAAGACATGCTCCTTGATGTTGGTCATGAGAGTTTTCACTACAAAAAAAAAGCCTATTACCTACGGAATATTACCTACGGATACAAATCCGTAGGTAAATTTTACATTACCTACGGATATTACCCACGGATAAAAATCCGTAGGTAAATTTTACATTACCTACGGATATTACCCACGGATGAAAATCCGTAGGTAAATTGTACATTACCTACGGATATTACCTACGGAATTCTATCCGTAGGTAATTATCCATTACCTACGGATATTACCTACGGATATTACCTACGGAATTCTATCCGTAGGTAATTATCCATTACCTACGGATATTATCTGTAGGTAATGTAATCCGTGGATAATTCCGTAGGTAATTACCTACGTAATTACTATCCGTAGGTAAAGTGTACATTACCTACGGATATTACCTACGGAATTCTATCCATGAGTAATTATCCATTACCTACGGATATTTTCCGTAGGTAATATCATCCGTGGTAATTCGAGTAATTACCTATGGAATTACTATCCAGTAGATAAATTATATTAAACTAAAAAAATTGTCACTAGCAAGAATCGAACCCGAGTACCTTAAAATTGAAAACTGATACTTCAACCACTAAACTATTAGGATATTCTAATAATAATTTACAACTAAATTATACTTATATTAATTCGTGTAAATATATAAATATATAAATATAAAATATATAAATATAAAATATATAAAATATAAAATATAAAATATATAAATATATAAATATATAAATATATAAATATATAAATATATAAATGTATAAATGTATAAATGTATAAATGATACATAAATACATAAATACATAAATACATAAATACATAAATACATAAATACATAAATACATAAATATATAAATATATAAATATATAAATATACAAATATATAAATATATAAATATATAAATATATAAATATATAAATATACAAATATATAAATATACAAATATATAAATACATAAATACATAAATACATAAATACATAAATACATAAATACATAAATACATAAATACATAAATATATAAATACATAAATATTTAAATATATAAATATTTAAATATTTAAATATTTAAATATATAAATATATAAATATTTAAATATATAAATATTTAAATATTTAAATATATAAATATATAAATATATAATAAATATATAAATATATAAATATTTAAATATATAAATATATAAATATATAAATATATAAATATATAAATATATAAATATTTAAATACATAAATATATAAATATATAAATATATAAATATATAAATACATAAATACATAAATACATAAATACATAAATATATAAATACATAAATATATAAATACATAAATACATAAATATATAAATATATAAATATATAAATATATAAATATATAAATACATAAATATATAAATACATAAATATATAAATATAAATATATAAATACAAATATATAAATGTATAAATATATAAATATATAAATATATCAAAATATAAATATATTTTATATTTATATATATTTTATATTTATATATTTTATATTTATATATATTTTTTATATTTATATATATTTTATATTTATATATATTTTATATTTATATATATTTTATATTTATATATTTTATATTTATATATTTTATATTTATATATTTTATATTTATATATTTACACGGATAAATATAAATATAATTTATTTGTAAATTATTTTCAAAATAACCTAATAGCTTAGTGGTTGGAGTATCGACCTCCAACTCGAGGTGCTCGGGTTCGAATCCTGCCAATGACAATTCCCTTAATCTAATAATAATTCAAAGTTTCGAAAATATAATAAATAATAAAAATATAATATAAAGGGGAGGGGTTTCTAGGTAATAATAAAAAATAAGGGAGGGGGTTGTAATAAATAAAATATTTTGTTAAGGTAAGTGCATTACCTACGGATTATAATCCGTAGGTAATTACCGCGAGTGCATTACCTACGGATTATAAATCCGTAGGTAATTACCTACGGATTTTCTACGGAAAGAAATCCGTAGGTAAAGTGACATTACCTACGGATTTTTGTCATTACCTACGGATTTTACCCGTAGATAATAAGCGTTTTTTTTGTAGTGTTTCACCAAGCACATGCACCCGTGTATAATAATTTGAAGAATAATTCAAAGACACTTTTGTACCCTGGGTGTACAAGTTTCATACGACTGTCTTCTGTATTGAGACTTATGAATTTGAAGACAAAATATGGATGGAGTAATAAAAGTTTTAATGAGTTGTTAGAACTATTGAAGGATATGTTACCAAATGATAACACCTTGTAAGACCGTATGTATGAAGTAAAGAAAATATTATGTCTAACGGGTTTGGAATATAAAAAAATGCATGCTTGTTCTAATGATTGCATATTATATAGGAAGGAGTTTGAATCTTTATATAGGTGTCCAAGATGTGAGGTATCACGGTACAAAGTGAAGGATGAGGATGATTCTACTCAAGATAATGAAACAAAATATCCTCCAACAAAGGTTTTATGGTATCTTCCAATAATTCCAAGATTTAAGCGATTATTTTCTAATGAACATGAAGTAATAAACCTTACATGGCATTCAAATGGAAGAAAAAAATGATGGGCAACTTTGACAACCAACTGATTCTCCTTAATGGAAGAAAATTGACCCTCTTTTTCCATATTTTGAGAGTGATGCAAGAAACCTTAGGCTTAGATTAGTTACATATGAAATGAATTCTTTTAGTAACTTAAGCATTAACCACAACTCATGGCTAGTTTTGTTGGTCATTTACAACCTTCCACATTAGTTGTGTATGAAGCGTAAATATGTTATGTTATTCATGATAATTGTAGGTCCCAGATAGTCAGAATATGACATTGATATTTATCTAAGTCCCTTGATAGATGACTTAAGATCTTTGTGGGAGGAAGGAGTGGAAGTGTTTGATGGATATCAACAAAACACTTTCAAGTTATATGCAATGTTATTTTGTACCATAAATAACTTTTCAGCATATAGAAACTTGAGTGAGTATAGTGTTAAGGGTCATCATATTTGTCCTATCTGTAAAAAGATACAAGTTATCTGCAATAGATATCTAACCACTCACATCGAAGGTTGAAAAAAGCTTATAATGGTTGCCAAAAAGATGTAGTTTCCCAAGCTCGGTTAACATGTGAACAAATTTATTTATGAGTGGGTGAAGAATATCAATAACATGTTTGAAAAGATGCAGAAAAAGTCATCTAATAAAAACATATGGAAGAAGAGGTCGATATTCTTTTACCTTCCATATTGATGTCATCTAGACATATGTTATTGTATTGATGTTATGCATGTAGAGAAGAATGTATGCGATAGTCTTGTTTTACACATATACAACAGACATTTGACATCACTCGACATAATATGTTTAATTATTTTACGCATATACAACAGACATTTGACATCAATTATTGATAATCGATGTTGTAAGATATGACTTTCAATATCAATTATTTTACAACCGATGTTGAAAATGTTAACTTTCAACGACACCATTTTCAATAACGATTATAAAATTAACATTATATACTCTATATAACCGATGTTAAATATTATTGATGTTGAAAGTGTTAACTTTTAACGACACCATTTTCAATAACGATTATAAAATTAACACTATATATTCTATATAACTGATGTTAAATATTATTATTATAACAATACTAATTTAATTATAAGGTAAAAAATTAATTAGTTTACCAATAAATACAAATTAGTTAATTAGGATCTCAAGATTATGGACAACAATTTATGAGCACTCAAATTAGGTTCTCATAACCCTTAAATTTTTTTATTATATAGTTTTTTTTAAGGATCATGGATCTTTTAAACTCATAATTCTTATAAATGTTTATAGATAATTTTCAATTTTGCGTCTTATACATTGAGAATTCACACTACTTCAAGATGTAGTACAAAAGGCGTTTTGAGACTCTTTACCTTTTTTTTTTTCCTTCTCGTATTTCTTAATTGTAAGAAACTAAATAAATATAGTGT